CTTCCCTACAATCATAAAGTTTTTTATTGCTTAGGTGGGTGAATGAGCTCACGGCCCACCTGATGTTAAGTGGTTACCTGAACCCACAGACATCTACAACATAAATGCCGCCACGTACCTTGAGATAAATAGTTCTAAGTTCACCGTTTTTATAGTACAACGGCTGTCCCACCCTTTAAGCCGAAACGCATTACTGCTTCACGGCAGAAATATAATGCTTTTCAAATAAGAATGTGCATGGACCTGCGCCATATTGTGACGTCATAGCTGTCAAATCGAAAAAAATAGTTGAAGTCAGTAAAAAAAGGTCGGAATTTTTAAATATTTATTCATAATCCAAATTTTCGAGTTTGCCGATTCCACTGATCCCACTGCTTGAGAAATTATGATCATCATCTTCGCCCATCCATAGATTATACGGCCCGACAGTGTTGCAGCCTTAATTTTTATATAGGTGTATTTTTTAAATATAATCTAAATTTATTTTTAATTTACCTCGACCAGTACTCAACATTTCAAGGAAATTATATAGGTGTGTATGGTTCATTAAAACAAACATATTAATTATCAATTGCGGTAGGCAGCAGCTTGGCTCTGCCCCTGGCATTGCTGAAGTCCATGGGCGACGGTAACCACTCACCATCAGGTGGGCCGTATGCTCGTCTGCCTACAAGAGCAATAAAAAATAAATAAATAAATAATTAGTCCACATAATTATGCAGAAAATTCACTAAACATAAGATTTTTTTTGTTCCTATTCAAATATTTTTACAGCTCAAGGTCATTGACGTGCACATTCTTATTTGAAACGCACTACAGGCAGTGTGGTGGTACCTATCCGCGCGAACTAACAACAAATCCTACCACTAGTTACAAAAAAAAAACTATCTACCATGTCTAGCTAGCTCCTAGATCTGCTCTTGCTCAGTATACATCTACCAGTCACTGCTGACCCAGTTAGCCTTCTTCGACGATGACGCGGTTGTTTTTATTCTAGTAGCAATAAGTCCTTTAACGTGACCAAACTTCCGATCGCTGGCCGAAACCAAAACTCATCACCGTCCTCGTCGAGAACTCGACGTGACATTTAGCCCATAGCATCAACATTTTGTGAATTAGGCGTGTCTGACTATAAAACCTCATTTTGTATCTTCTGTCAAATGGCCGAATAAGCTTATGGCATGATAAGTTGCTGTCGAAGCTTATACATAAAAATGTGATCTACGTATCTGGTAATTTATATATATGATTTATATAATATGTCTGGCGTAAAGAACGTTTGTAAATTAAATTTAACCGATTTAAAAAATGGGGAGGCTATTAACGCGATAGTATTTTTTTATTATGTTGTTTTTTACCTCAGAACGTTTTTATTGGTGAACCGATACTGATCATTAGTTTTTAATCAAATTAAAATCAATCAAATTCTGGTGATTTTCATGTGTTTTTTGAGTTATCTTTAATAATGCATATTTAATTGAGTTCGACTGTGTTGATGCCAATCTTATTTCATTTTGTTGATGTCAGTTTTGTTTTTTCTTATTATTTTGTATTATCATATTTTAGCGTTTAAGGTATACTTATTACTTAACCCTTATTCAAGACAATTAAATAGTGAATACAGAGAAGAAATAAAATAAGCTTGCTTCCAAATAGAATTTCGAAGCCATTATCCTCAGTATTTCGATGTATTCCGGTGCATTGAGCGCTCACTATTATGCGCCGATGCAGGTAAAATATCGGCCAGAAAATAAAACCCTACGTTGCCCTGAATACGCGGCTATGTAAATACACAATACGTTATTGGAAAATAACGAGAAGACGTAATATATTTTTAACGATCCAGTATTAAAAACCTTCTGGAATCGTGATAATGATGCGGCTTCTCTCCTATACCTAATGTATCAGACTCAATATGAATTACAATGAGGATTTCAGATATAGATACTATCTACTGCATTAGCATTGACTATTTTAATTGCTGTGCAGTAAATAATAAGGATGGATGATAGTATTTAAATTTGAAATCTAACAGAAACGATGTACTTTTTTACTAGGTATAGTAAGAAGTAGACATCACCTGTCACCCTAAGATGTGGAGTCGAAGTGTCAATTGCATAGATATAAGGCTTATGAATACCAAAAACCAGAATGGACTGTTACGCGGCAAAAAATAAGTAGGTTTGATAGATAAACTTTCGCCTTCGAGCTCACTGTACGCCTCCTACCAGTATTTTTTTTCGGTCATGAGGAAATTGCTGGTCTTCCGCCTATGGGTTGAGTGTAGGTAAAGTATGTCGGAGTTGAATCGACTAAAATCGAAGCAGAACACGGGGACACTCTTGGAGGCGCTCGAAATGGAACCATTGGGGAGCCCGCACAGGTTGGTGTGGGGCAAGCTACGCCCGTGCGCCGGCTGTGAGCGGCAGTAGTTTTTGGTGAGGTTCAACTCCCACATACCCCATCCGCCGGGCGAGGATCCGGTGATTTTCTCCGGTACAAAAAAAATAATCGTACTACAACTCGCGTCAGAACCTCGCTTAGAACACCACTAGTGTGTTACTGTATTTTTAAGATGCATATTGTGTCTATAGATAACCGATAACCACCAAAGACAAGAAGATATGCTATGTGTAAGATGAGCACATTTACAAGTATAAAGCTTTCTTTTTAATAATCTAGTTAGAAATCAAATATTTCTGTCGACAACCCTGCTCGGCTTTCCGGAGCCTACTTAACTTGATGGGGTTATATTATTATGATTATGTGATGCGTTTTTCATGTCCCCATTTCATTCTTTGAGTACGGTCGGCATATTTTATTAGCTTTGTACCCGGGGACACCTTTGACCTTACCTGGTTTATATTTGGTTAAGACAATAGGATTAATTGAATTGGATTTTAGAACAATTTTGAGACTAATACAGAATATTGATTAACCAATGCATTTTAGAACAATTTTGACTCTAATATATAATAGAAGATTGTATATTAATTAACCAATGTGTTATTGCAACTTGTAGAACGTGTGATTTAAAAAGAAACTAAAACATTTATTTCAGTACAGAAACTTAAATATACCAAAAAAAATCTCATTTTCAGTAAGTCAGCCGTTAGTCTAAGATTGTCTCATTGAAGGTAACCAGTTGTGATGCCTAGTCTTCGATAATTGCTTAAAACTGGACCAATATTGTTCTAGTTTGCCAATAAAGAATCTACCAGTAATGTAATTTTGAAGGGAAAGTCACACGAATCTATGATAAATCTGTTGATAACAAGATCATTTTATATTGATGTCCTATTTGTAACTTACAGATTAAAGTTTTAATTATGAGAAATTTTATAATCCTCCTCCATGAGTCGCATTCCTCATGTCTGAGAGTCGTGGCCATCTCCTCCCATTGCGTAATTACTGTTGGTAGGACATCTTGTGAGTCCGCACGGATAGGTACCACCACCCTGCCTATTTCTACCGTGAAGCAGTATTGCGTTTCGGTTTGAAGGGTGGAGCAGCCGTTGCAACTATACTGATACCTTAGAACTTATATCTCAAGGTGGGTTTTACGTTGTAGATGTCTATGGGCTCCAGTAACCACTTAACACAACAAAAAAATCCTTCTGTGGATGACGTTTCGCCATCTTCCTCTATTCTCGGCGGTGTGTATGCCATTTTATAATACTTTGTAACAAAAGGTTCCACGAGTGAAACTAAGTTGCAATACTAATACTGCTAAGAGAATATTAAATGTTCCCTTTTGGATTGGCCGCTTATATAACTAACATAGTGATGACATGTAAATTATCACTTACCTGTAGGCTTATGTCGTAATTTATGTTAATCGAATGTTATAGGGAAAGGGTTGCTTTGTAAGGATTGTAGAATAAATGAAACACCATGAGAACTTTATTTATAATAAATTGCATAAAAGACTGCATGCGATTTGTAACTGCTTCATATTTCGACTTAAATGCGTTTATAAAGATAACACGCAATGTTAGTATAAATATTGAAAGGCTTATAATAATAAATTGCTCTGAGGAACTGTTTGAGATGATATCATCATCTCGTTTATACCATCGCATCGCCCGCCATTGGAGTAGAGAGTTCATCCATACTACCTGGAGCCACTGCGTTCATACACAGTGCGTTTCGAGAGATCTTTTTTGCCACGTACCATCGGACTTTGGAATGAGCTCCCCTCCACAGTGTTTTCCTAGCGCTATGATATATCCTTCTTCAAACGAAGGCTTGTGGAGAGTATTAAAGGGTAGGTAGCGGCTTGGCTCTACCCCTAGATTTGCTGACGTCCATGAGAGACGATAATCACTCTCCATCAGGTGGGCCGTACGGTCGTCTGCCTCTACGGCAATAAAAAAATAAAAAATAAAGATTACTGGGAACCGCGTTTGACAATTACTGTACAAATACTCCAACAAATTGCCTTTTAAGAGAAAATATACCTCATTGGTCTCCGAGAATTTTAGATCCAGATAGTAATTATAAGTATTCAAATTGCTGCTCCTAACTACAGCTTATACTATCGACAACTTTTCAACCGACACCTTATTTTCAAATCAATCAACCAAAGATAACTCTTCTGTAGTCAGACAGGTGACCATTGTTCCATTTTAATACTCACCAATACATACCAAAATAAAGCGGAAAATCTTTGTTTTAAATTGTTTTTTGCTTAAATTAGTGCATTTTTTACTATAAATTTATTGCACTATTTCGATTAAGAGTCCATGTCCCCATTTTTTTTTTTTGCTGATGTTGGCAAACTATCATACAGTCAGCCTAATGGTGAGTGGTTACTGTTGCTTTGGAATACGTAATGATTGTCCCATATTTTAAATTGAGACTCATGACTGCTTTATGGCAGAAAAAGCAGGCCTTTGGCACCTAACCTTTGATCTTATATATGCCTAAGCATGATGACTGATTGGAAATTAGGGCATGATGACTGATAGGATATGAGTTCAGTTTTCCGACAAACTTACCTCCTTGGGGGAAGAACTGTGAGTAAATAAGTTTGAAGGTGTCTTCTTTTACAACGCCGGTCGGACATTCTGCTTTGAAACCTCGGTAAAGTCTCTTGAGCTCAGGTTCTGTGAAGCGCGTGGCCCGTCGTAACGCAGCTATGGAGTCCGGCCTGTAACGAGGTAGTTGCTCACCCAACTCCTCGAATTCCGAATCTGGAAGGAAAAACGATTACATATTACAACCAACAAGCCCTTTTGACGTAAATACTGAAACGTAGAAAAATATTTTTAGAGTCATCATTGACTACTTATATGGCATTAGGAGAGATTTACGGTCTATAGATTATAGAATTAATTTTGATTGTAGCAAAGTACCGATCTTCGTTGGAGATAAGTCCATGGAAATTTAAGTAGGAGGCTTTCTTTATACTGTTATACAACAGTAGGTATGGGCTCTCCACCCACCATGAAACGTGGAGTCGAAGTCTAGTTTATTATACGGCTATCCCACCCTTCGAATTAGAACGCATGACTGCTTCGCAGAAGAAATAGGAAGATGTTAATGTTTTATTATTATTTAATTGGCCTGAGATTCCGTCTCCATTAGATACTACTAGTCTGGTATCATTTAATGAGATATTCTCTGTTTGGATGGTGATTTTTTTAAACAAATTACTGAAATACGTAATAGGCATACATTATTAATCCTGTATACCTAATTAATAATGTATAACTGAATAGGTATGGGAAGATTATAAAATTAATGATGTCTATAGATATTAAAAGACGAAGAATAATTAAAGTAAGGCAACGAAAATTCACGTAATGCTATATACAGCTGAGTACAATTAAAAGTAACGTAATTGCGAAATACGAAACTAAGTATAAGCAGTAATTAAGTGAAATCGATACCTAACAATGTTGATCGCAGTTGCCTATTAATAGGCAGATATTACTTTCACGAGAAAGTTGATTTATTATGACTTCGCCGAGACCTCGGTGGCTATTTTCAGATGTTCTCGCATTACGCAGATCGTAATACATATAAAGCCACACATTCATATTGATGTATGTACATACCTTGCGTGTGGTATTACGTGTGGTGGTACACGAAATTAGTTTTAGATTAAATTTATCTAGTTGTTTCCATATATAATACATTTTTTTACATTAATAAGAATGACGAATCAGTATTTTCCTAGTTTCTTATTATAAATTTTAAAGGTATAAATGTCATTGCTAGTTTGTTGTTATGAATAAACTCATCCAATTCAATTGAAGACAGCCGTAACATAGTGTAGACTTAAACTTTATGTCTCATGGATGACGGTATTAGTGATGTTGAAGTTCGTAAGATTTTCTAAACAAAAAATTGACATAAATTCCCCCTTAGTTTACCATTTTTGGGGTCTGGATTTGGGATTTAAATTTTGAAATCTCAAGCCAACTTGCCCGGTAACCGCGCGACCGCCGAACGCTATACTAGCGTTCCTGTCTGAGCCTTTGCTCGCCCACCTCTCCTGGTGAAGCTGGAAAGGCCTCAGGGCCACCAGTAATCCTTCAATCATAAAAAAAGCTATACCAGCGCAACGCGTTGCCACAGTGTGCGGAACGTTTTGAAAAGAAAGAATCTATACAGACCTGAAGTCATCAGCAGTTGGCGATAAGTCCGTATTCCTTAACAACTATAAAATTAAAAGAAAAAAGCGCTATCCCATAAATTGCTTTTAGGTTTACCATTTCATTCCCAGTGGTACCTAGGTGAGGAGGTATTCTCAGAGCATTAGGACATATTTATATATAAAAAGGCTTCAAAGAGTAAATATTATATTTGAATTGTCGCTTTTCTGTATGTATGAGTAAATAGCAGTAATCATTAATCAGTCGATCTTAATTAGCACAATGCGCGTAGATAGTTAAAAACAAAAATAGCCCGGTCACCTGATTTCGCGACATCCAATGATTATTTTTAATTACCTATTCGCTGATAGCTTATCGGGCTATTCTAGCTTCTCACGGACGGGTAGGCGAGCTCACGAGCTCAACCTGAGGGGGTTTGCTAAAACTAGCCCTAGCAAGGACTTGAATCTACCGCCGGTTCGAAATCGCGACCCATTCACGATCCGGATTCGGCAAGTTGTGTTTTTTTTCCTACCTATTTGCTGGTAGCCTAAGAGGCTATTCCAGCTATGCCCGGACGGATAGGTGAGCTCACGGGCTCAACCTGAGAGAATTTGCTAAGCACTAGCCCTAGCAATAGTAGTGTTTCGCGAGCCGCGTCTGTTAGCTTACTCGTCGAACTCTTCGTCGTAATCGACAAGTTCGACGGTGCTTGAAGAGTCTAAAAGCACCGAGAGTTGATCCGGGGGATCCGATAAGATATGTTTCGGGCGACGACCATCGAATGACAAATTTTTTCCTAGCCCACACAAGATTGCACTATTTAAATTTGGAAGACATTAACTGCAATTCACGATCGGATTCGCCAACTCGAGAAGCCGAGATGAAAGCATTGTATCCTTTACAATTTGTGGTTTATCAGTACAGAGTCGGTCTTTATTCTGACAGGTCGCACAATGGACCGCTAACAATGCCTTTCGACCGCGGAATCTCTATTGCGTTATCGTAAATCATTTATCAGAAATCAACATGTCATTGCAAAATGACTCAGTTGTATTATTTTATTTTTACACGGTATGTGTAATAATTTCCCCACCGAATGCAGTTCCGCCTTGTCGTGGCGGTGGGGCTTAAGCGTGCGTCCCTAAAATCGCGTGCAGAGGAATCTGTGTGGGACGCCGCGACCAAGAGAACTGCGCCCAGCTCTCTTCGGCCGCCTCCGCGTTCTGCGGGGGATGCCATGAGAGAGAGCGAGGGACCTTCTCCCGTCGCCCTTTGCACTGACAAAGAGTTCCATTCTGGGGATGAGGGGTTGGCTCTCGGGAGCCTGGTGAGCCAGCGGCACTTTTGTGTCTTCCGGCTGCGGGTTGCCATGTCCCCGGCTTTGGCTACAGGGGAAAGCCTTCCAGATATGGGAGGTACCGGTTCGCCGGCGTGGCTCCGCACCGCGTTATGGGCGATGGACAGGCTTCGGCCACCGTCGGTCAAACCGTAAACCCCAGTGATGGGGAACGGGGGCTTCTGCCTTTACTGGTCGAAGCCGCGAGGATGCAAACCTCTTCAAAAATGCCCTAATCCCAAGCTCGACACCCGGCGATGGGATGTATGGCTGGAGGGTTTCCAGTCCCGAGGGTGTCATAGATCCCAGGGGACCAAACCCCTGGTTAATAAAAAGGCAATATATGATGGCAAATTGTGAAAAGNGGCTCACGCAGGTTCTCACTGGGCATGGTTGCTTCGGTGAGTTCCTGCACCGGATCAGAGCCGAGCCGACGGCAGAGTGCCACCATTGTGATTGCGACTTGGACACGGCAGAGCATACGCTCGTCGCCTGCCCCGCATGGGAGGGGTGGCGCCGTGTCCTCGTCGCAAAAATAGGAAACGACTTGTCGTTGCCGAGTGTTGTGGCATCGCGCAAGCCCGCCGCCGTCGAGCGGGGGCCAGGGAGGCGGATCTCGCCCAAGCTCTGGCCCTCTAAGTGTTTCGGGCCCCCCTCATATGTCGGTCTGGGGACCGGCGAGGGGGACCTAAGAAGACGTCGTGCAAGCTGCTCTGAACGCGTTTTACGCAAGAGCATCCGGGTGATGGAAGGCCGGCTATCCTTGACCCACGCTGGTTCTGACCCAGCGGGGTATTCCGTAGGATAGCTCACTCTAACCGGCGCCATCTAGGCGGGCTCCGGATAGCCTGCCGACCGAGAGGGCTGGTGGTCGTGGCGCCGACGACCGCCAGTCCGTCGTCCCGAGGGGGAGGGTGATGGGAGAGATGTGCTCCGCACTAAGCACTTTACTTTCCCCCCTTTGCCTTTTCATGAGTTCTGTCTCATGTGAGGTTTGGACGTTGGTTGTTGAGCGACAGGAGGTTTTAGTCGGTTCGACTCCGACATGCTCCGCCCGCCGTCCCCAGTGGAGGGCGGAAGTCCGGCGATTTCCTCCAGACCAAAAAAAAAAAAATACCCTTAAAACCGAAATGCATTATTGCATCACGGCAGAAATAGGCAAGGTGGTGGTACCTACCCGCGCTGGCTCACAAGAGGTTCTACCACCATTATAGTCATAGTTACTGTATAAATTATCCATTTTAAACTTAATAAGCCGCAATGCAGCCATGTATAATAAGTAAATTAATAATTCCGTAAGTTTCACGTGGATTCTGCAATGTGCATTGTATGTAAAACGAAAACTAATATGCAAGTATAATGCGCTAATCCGTGAGAAACTTTTACATATCCTTCTTCAAACGAGGCTTGTGGAGATTACTTAACGGTAGGCAGCGGCTTGGCTCTGCCCCTGACATTGCTGAAGTCCATGGGCGACGGTAACCACTCACCATCAGGTGGGCGGTATGCTCGTCTGCCTACACGGGCAATAATAAAAAAAAAGTATATAAAATGAAACACTAGAGCCACCGTCATATTTAATATAGTAAAACATAATTAAATTATCAGTAAGTATTCACGGTACAAGTCAATGTAATTAATTTAAAAATAAAACTTTAGGAAAATTTTGTGATTAAACATCCTTTACGGTTTAATTGTTTTACGGTTTAGGTTTAATCTCGCGTTTATAATTTTTGAATTCGTCTGACGTTTGGAATATTTTTGTTTTTCATAAAATAGTAACGATTACTTCAATAAAAAATTGATTATGTGCTGCAAAATAAATTAAATTTATTAAATTTTAAAGTCCTATTACAATATCTACATTCCAGATCAATAGTAGCCGCGTGCCTCCGAACTAATTGCCGATTCCCAAATTCGACTTAAATTCTATTTTCCTTGCAATTAACGGGGATAAGTCGTAATTTATCGCGTCTCCTGCGGGACCTTGTGAGGAGGGTGCGACCGTGGCTACAGCGCGTCCTAAAAGATTAAAGGGATTCTGTGACATTACTTGAAATAGCACATTTACGTAAGACTCTGCAATTTGTTCCTTAAATCCATATTATTATATTAATTATACAGCCGTACGTACTTAAAGTTATACTCATAAGTTTTCATTCATTCATTTCATTCACTGACAATAGTTTTGGTAATTTTGTGGTGTGTAGTGGTATATTTATTTCCAATTTAATAATTTAAATCGACTAAAACAGTTTTGAGAAATAATTGATTAAAGTTTTAGGAGGAGATCGAAGAAGGAGGCTATAGGCCGTTTCGAATGTTAATCTATGGTAGAATTTGTATAACGTGAATTTTAACGTCATAACTCGCTACAATGCCGAATGATTAAACGCTAAATAATCTCTGTGTAACACGAAATAAAACCTTGCTTCTAAACATTTTAAATGTGGCTTTTAAAGGGACGAAATACTGGACGGGCCTATTGACTATTCTCCACTGACTGACTAACATCCACTTTCTTTGCTAAATAAATTGCTCAACTAATTACTATTAAGTTTAATATCTCCTCGCTATTTGTTACTGCAGGCGACTTTTTCTATTTTAATCTCCGTCTAGTTAACGCACTTCAATAAAAATCGTATTAAGGAAATGAAAACTGTTATGTTCGCAATGCCGGGACTTATATTATGAAAAATAAACAAGAGATTGCGACTTAAATGTGTATCCTGGCTCGCGAAGCCTAAGAAACTATTACGTCATGTGAAAATNATATCTCCTCGCTATTTGTTACTGCAGGCGACTTTTTCTATTTTAATCTCCGTCTAGTTAACGCACTTCAATAAAAATCGTATTAAGGAAATGAAAACTGTTATGTTCGCAATGCCGGGACTTATATTATGAAAAATAAACAAGAGATTGCGACTTAAATGTGTATCCTGGCTCGCGAAGCCTAAGAAACTATTACGTCATGTGAAAATTCATCTGTCGTGTGATTTAAATTAAGCAGCTAACGGGCGGTTCGATTCGTGCCCGTTTCCGATTAGAATATTAAATTAACGTATAATGCGAGCAGGACAACCGGGAATTCAAAATTAGGTAATTTTCCGTGAGATCAACGTAGTACGTGGCTCGCCGCTCGTGACAAATCTTGCCTAAAACGAAATTTAATTTGGCCTTCATTTCTATTACAGGTGCAAAATCCGGCATTGGATTACGGGTTGATTGAAAATTTGTCCTATATACAATGGTAACGTGTGAAGCATTCGGTTATGGAAGCAAGTGGTTATGTGATAAATTATGGATTGCGTACTGCGTTTTATCGTTTTATTGACTTGAAATTGGATTTCATCAGTAAGTATATACAGTAAGTATTACTGGTGGTAGGACTTCTCGTGAGTCCGCGCGGGTAGGTACCACCGCCCTGCCTATTTCTACCGTGAAGCAGTAATTCGTTTCGGTTTGAAGGGTGGGGCAGCCGTTGTAACTATACTGAGATCTTAGAACTTATATCTCAAGGTGGGTGGTGCATTTACGTTGTAGATGTCCATGGGCTCCACTAACCACTTAACACCAGGTGGGCTGTGAGCTCGTCCACCAATCTAAGCAATAAAAAAAAAAGTATTTACAGTTCGCATCAGTGCACCATTTCTTCGATCTTCTCAGTACGTCGTGCTTCCGATCCGGTGGTAGATTCTACGAAGTACACTGCCCTTGCTAGGGCTAGTGTTAGCAACGTCGTCAGGTTAGAGTCACGTGAGCTCACCTACTCGCCCGGTTACGCTGGCATAGCCGCTAGGTAGCATAGGTAGGAAAAAACATCATTTTACAAAAAATATGGTGGTTTTCATTGAAACTAATTTGATGGTTTAATCTCGCTTTTTTATTGTTATTGTATTATTACTATTTACGTTTCGAATTCTTTACAGTTTTCGTGGTCACGGACAACTGGACGTGGACAGTAAAAAAATGCGAACTTAAGCCGTAAAAGTTGTTTTAATTATGTTTACGACACGCGAAACCCAAGAAAATACTTTTTTTATTGCTTAGAGGGGTGGACGACCTCACGGCCCACCTGGTGTTAAGCGGTTACCGGAGCCCATAGACATCTACAACGTAAATGCCGCCACCTAGCTTGAGATATGAGTTCTAAGTCTCAGTTTTACAGTACAGCGCCTGCCCCACCCTTCAAACCGAAACGCATTACTGCTTCATGGTAGTAATAAGCAGGGTAGTGGTACCTATCCGTGCGGACTCACAAGACGTCCTACCACCAGTAAGGTGGTCTAATTCAAAATGAGTTATCGGTGTTATAAATGCTATTCACAATCGTTCCAAAACGTGAAACATTTTTAACAGTCTTTTCATAACGAGCTTATTAAGCTATGATGTTTCATTATGAATAGAATCATTCGATTTTATGGCAATTCACGGCTGAATTTTTTGCTTATCTACTGAAACTTGTGCGGCTAATATGTATTTGCTTTTAGAACTGATTCTTGTATGATTTAATTAAAGCTACTTTCGCGTTTTCATAACGGCTGTTTTTATTGTCATTATATTATTTCTATCTACATTTCTATACAGTTTTCGTGGTCACGACGACTAATTAAATTTACTGAGATCTGTTTTTGGTGGTTAGTCTATTAAATTAGTTTTGATAGTGTACAATCTTAGTTCATTCATCGAACTAAATTATCTATAGAAATATGTAGATAGCAGAACAGAATTATTGACTTGAATTTGCGTATGAGCGATCACGTATAAAATTGAACAGCAGGTATCACGTCACGTATGTGAAGATATTATCATGCGAGGCCCCGGAGTGGCACTGGCTTACGGCTGGATTACGTGGGGCGTACGTGCGTCGAAACCGCAACAAACTACCGCCTTCCCGTGAAACTTAAGCGTTTTATTACGTTTCTTACGGACACGAAACAAGGCGAGTCGATACGGCGATTTAAAGTAAACGATATATGAAATGGGCAAGTCAATTTTAAATTGAATTATGTATGAGCTTAAATTAATATTATAAAAAAACAAGACCCATAACAGTTAGAGAGGTTATTGATCCCCGACTCGTCGGAAAAATGGCTAAGAAAAGTGGCGTTTTCACAAAATCGTAAATAATGATAAAGAGTTTCATCATATTATATGGAATGTAAAATTTTATCACTGGTGGTGGGACCTCTTGTGAGTCTGCACGGGTAGGTACCACCACCCCGCCTATTTCTGCCGTGAAGCAGTAATGCGTTTCGGTTTGAAGGGTGGGGTAGCCGTTGTAACTATACTGAGACCTTAGAACTTATATCTCAAGGTGGGTGGCGCATTTACATTGTAGATGTCTATGGGCTCCAGTAACCACTTAACACCAGGTGGGCTGTGAGCTCG